TGTGTGTGTGTGTGTGGCCACCAGGTTGCCCTTGATTAAAAGGTTTTACCCTTAAAATGTCCTTGGAAACCATCCCGCCATAGCCATCATTCTGCCCTCGGCTGTGTTTCTACCGGCATCTCCAATCAGCTTCTGTGTTCATCTTTCACTTCACCGGGCAAAGACTTTGGGGCACCCATACCGAACGACCTTCCAGCCTAGCATTCCTATTATTTCAATTTACTCCTCTACATCTGCAATCCTGCACCAAGCGGGTGCTCTGTCGCCCTTATAATACCAGGAGAAAGCAGGGAAGATGGATTGTGAACATAACTTTGGCTTGGCTGCCATACTTATTTCTGGCCGAAAGCACAGGGTCGTTCTGCGCTCTGTCCTAAATGTATTACAGGCCCCTCTGAAAGACTAAAAACGACTTGTCCGCCTAATGCCAGAAGCTACGAAGGCAGTGAACAAACAGTCATTTCCCTCCTTGTCACATTTAAAACAAATACACGCCAAGTGGATGCAATAGCAGGGGAAAGGTTACTTTTCAAAGAAAGAACTAAGCCACGAAATTCAAATACGCTGTGTACAATGATCTAACATATGGCGGCTGAAATCCTGTTTTTCTGTCCTGCAAGTGGAAGGCAGACGGCTTAATATTCCGTGACTCCTATCTGGCAATTGATAAGTCCCCGCTGGGATTCTTGAGCATGTGCTAAGCCGGTGGGGCTGTTTTTGTTCTTCTTGTTCTCATGTGCTGGCAAGTCACTTCCAACTCATTGCAACGCTATGAATGAGCCCTCTCCAAAATGTCCTGCCTTCAACGACCCTGCTCAGCTCTTGGAAACTTGAATCGGTGGCTTTCTTTAGGGAATTGATCCATCTTGTATTTGGTCTTCCTCTTTTCCTGCTACCTTTAGTGGTTCCCAGCATTGTTGGGTTTTTTTCCAGAGAATCTTGCCTTCTCACGATGTACTCAAAGTAGGACAGCCTTAGTTTCAACATTTTTGATTTGGTCTAAGATCCACTTGTTTTATCTTTCTGGCAGTCCAGCGTATTTGCATAGCTCTCCTCCAGCACCATAGTTCAATCAAATCATTTCCCCCCTGTCAGTTTTCTTTACTGTCCAGCTTTCACACCCACACATGGTGTTCAGGAATACAAGAGTATGGATGATCTTGGTCTTGGTCTCCAGTGACACATCCTTCCACTTGATGATCTTTTCTAACTCCTTCATTGCGGCTGTTCCTAATCTCAGTCTTCTTCTGATTTCTTGGCTGCAGTCTCCATTTGGATGGATGATTGAACCAAAGAGTACAAAATTACTAATTATTTCAATGTCAACACAAAAGTTGTGAAATTCTTCTGTTGTCCTGATTTTGATCTTCTTAACATTCAACTCCAGTCCTGCTTTGTCACTTCTGCCTTCCCTAAAACTGGTTTCAAGTCATTGCTGCTGTCAGTTAGTAAGATAGTGTCATCTGCTTATCTTAAATGATCAATGTTCCTTCCAACAATTCTCACTCCTCCTTCATCTGAATCTAGTCTGGCTTTCTGTATGATATGCTCTGCACACAGACTGAACCGATAAGGAAACAGAAAACACCCTTATCTGACACATTTGTCTATAGGAAACCATTCTGTCTCTCCATGTTCTCTCCTAACAGTATCCTCCAAAATCCTGTCAGAGACACTCTGATTGCCAGATGGACTGAACATTTGCCTTCTACAGGAGTACTAACAAAACTGCAGGATTTCAGCTTATATCCATAAAAACAAATTGTGGGATTGCGGAAATGTAACTGCCGCAAGCAGATGTCCTGAGCCACTAAATTATGCTACCAGGCTGGGATGGAGAAAGCAAGAAGTGTACAGATTTGTGCTTTTGGACTATAACTCCAAGAATTGCCCAGGCAGTATAGCAGTTCTGGGAGTTATAGTGCAAAAGCACAAATCTACAGATGCCTAAGGAAAGCTTTTCAAATTATTTGGATTCCAGTTTCCAAAAGCCATAGCCTGTGTGGCAATTAGGAAAGGGGATGGGGCATTATAACCTTTAAAAATTGGAGGGCTAAAGATTCCTCATCTCTACTAAAAGACCAGGGAAGTAGGGTGATGGGATCACCAAACTATCAGAACAGAACAGAGACAGGGAGAGATTCCTTTTGTAGAATCATAGGGTTAGAAGGGATCTAGAAGGCCACTGAGTCCAACTATCTGCTCAGTGTAAGAATCCAAATCAAAGCAGATCTGACAGAGGATTGTCCCGTTTTCTCTTTAATGTCTCCAGTGTTGGAACACTCACCACCTCCTGAGGTAATTGGTTCTATGGTCATACCGCTCTAACAGTTAAGAAGTTTTTCCTGATACTCAGCCTAAATCTGGCATCCTATATCTTGAGGCTATTATTACATGCCCTGCACTCTGGGATGATTGAGAACACACCCTCTCCCGCCTCTGTTGGATGCTATCTTTCAAGTATTTGAAAAGTGCTATCCTGTCTCCCCTCAGTCGTATTTTCTCAAGGCTACACATGCCAATTTTTTTTTTGCTTCCCCAAGCCCGAGCAGGGAATTTGTGATGTTCATGTCTCTTTATCTTGGGCCCATTCCAATATTTGTGTCTGGGAGGGTCTTGATGAAATCAATGTGGGGGTGGGAAAACATATGAAGCAACAACATCTAGGAATCTCACTTGGAGAAGGTGTTCCTCGAGTAGTGCATTATGCTGTCAAAATCATAATTCTCGCCCAACGTCTGCACCTCATCAGGCTCCATCTTCAGGAAGTTGTACTCCTGCCCTGTGGGAAGACAAAGAGGGGAAAGCATGAGAAATGCAAGATGGGTGTGGAGCAAATATCTGTCCTCCTGGTGACTACATCCTTATGTCTGCTGTTTACACACTACAGTTTGCTCGCTGGGGCTCTGTCTGCTTCCTTCCCAGCAGACTGAAGTTCCAGCTGAGTGGAAGAGGGATTAGCTCCATGCCTTGACTGTGTGACTGACAGAATCCTAGTTGAGCTGCAGAACTTTTATTTGTTGACATACCATATTTTTCGCTCCATAAGACACACTTCCACCCCAAAAAAAACCATAGGGGGAAAGGTGTATGTGTCTTATGGAGTGAAATCGCCACCTTCAGGGACTCTTTTAAGGCTTGGGAAGCTTCAGAAGAGTCCCAGAAGGTGGAGATTTTGCTCCCACTCGCCCTGCGGGGGGAGGGGAGGGTGAGCCTCCAAAGGGTCCTAGGGTGTGTTCCATAAGATGGACCTCTCCATAAGACTCACCAAATTTTAGGAGAAGAAAACAAGAAAAAAATAATCTGGGAATTTTGGCCTGCTGGGCCAGCGGGGGTGAGGGAGAAGGCATTCTCGGGCCCTTTGGAAGCTTCCCCCACCTTCACCCCTGCTGGCCCAGCAGGCCGAAATTCCCACATAATTTTTTTCCTGTTTTCTTCTCCTAAAAATTTGGTGCGTCTTATGGAGTGAAAAATGTGCCAACTCATCAAATTTAAGACCTATTTGTACTACTCTGATTCCATGTGCTCTCACATTTCCATTGTGTCCAACATGTTGGTAGCAGCAAAGGTGGGTGAGCACTGGGGGCAAAAATGGAATGAGGGAGCACTGGCAGGGTGACAGGATGGGAAGCCAATAGATGTTGAGGTGACCTGATGAGGGAAGAAGGGTAAATAGGATGTTGGCCGCTACTTAAGACGACCTTTGCCCTGACCTAATTTTCTGTCCATGGATTTTAAGAGGTTGGCCTCTGATGAAACATGGCATGCTCACCCTGCCTCTTCTTCTTCTCTCCCGTTTTGACTCTTCTGTTGCCAAATCTGACTCAGGAAAGCACTTCGGCCAGCAGATTGGTTTATCAGGAGGCCACTGAGATCATCCAACCAAAGAGGGTTCTGCTGGCAAACAGGCATTTCTGCCAGCAGAATGGGATTTCTGCCAGTCAAGAGGCATGGGTGTAATCCTATAACTAGCATATCCTGGAGGTAGGATTGCTTTGTCCAGAATCCTTTGACAAAGTCTCCCAGACTCTGGAACTCCCTCCCACTGGAGGCCAGACTGGCCTCCTCTTGGCTGTTCTTCTGCAAGCAAGCACACACTTTTCTCTTCAGGCAAGTTTTCCCTGAGTGACTGGCAGCCTGAGTGGTTTTCTTGAATAGATTGTTGTACCTTATGCTTTGAATGCATTTTTTTGTGTTGGTAATGTCTTTTCATACAGTATAGCTTTGATCCTTTTGTATTTCTATACTCACCCTTGTTAGCATGAAATACTGCCTTTTAAGCCATCTTGGGTCCTTTAGAAGGAGAAAGGCGTGGTAAAAAATATTTTAAATGAATAAATAAAAATTAAATAAAGCCTGCTACTGCTAGACTTCTCCTTCTCTTTGGGAACGAAGAAGAGGAAAAGAGGAAGAAGAGGAAAACTGGCAGGGGAGAGGAAAAGGGAGCCTTTACCTGGCTGGATATTTTCACGGATAATTGACACGTGGTCATCTCGATCCGGGCGTGTGTGTTCATGCCAGAAGCCAATGACATGGCCCAGTTCGTGCACCACGATGCCAAATTTGTCACAGTTTTTGCCGACGGAGATAGCCTGTGGGCCTCCTCCCCTGCGCCCCACATAGGAACAGCACCTGTACAGACAATACCATTAAGTTCAGGGTGATCCTATCTGTGTATCCTAGGCTGGGCAGCCGAGGACCTTAATCCTGAGACAGGCCTGGTAGGAGAACACAAGGAACTGGGCCTTCTCGGTGGTGGCCCCTCTGCTCTGGAACGAGCCGCCCTCTGAAATTCACCGGGCCCTTTCTGTCTCTCTCTCTCTCTCTCTCTCTCTCTCTCTCTCTTTGTGGTGATTTTTAAGAAATCTCTCAGAACTTTCTTATTCCAGCAGGCTCTCCAAACTATCCCCTCTGAATAACCGGCTGAGATGATTAGCTTATCGTCTTTAATTATGGCCTGTTTTCAAATGAAACTTTAATTTAAAATTTTTACTTTTAACTAGGTTTATGGTATTATATGTTCTTTATCATTGCTGTAGAGTGTAGACTGCCCAATGTGACCATTGGTCAGATGGTATAGAAATTGAAGTATCTGAGTAACAAAGGTTAAGAACCAGTGCTGTAGACTGCCCAACGTGACCATTGGTCAGATGGTATAGAAATCGAAGTAATCAATCAATCAATCAATCAATCAATCAGGGTCAGGGTGCTCTCTCTCAGCATGAATTGAGAGTACATAGATCCCTGTTTCTTCCACCATGGGAAGGAAAAAAGGTGAGCAGAGATCATTTCCAGCCTCTTTCCCTCTCCTGGCCACCCGCACCGGGCCAAGAATAAGGTGCATGTTGCTGGAATGGACCCATCTGCCTTCAAATGATTCCCAGATGTGCATAAGCAAGATCTTGCAAGCAACAGCTGCAGGATGGAGCAAACATCTGCAGCTGACTAGAATTATGTATTTAAAAAAATACTGGCAGGGGAGGGAAACCTGTAATGACCAACTAGAACAGAGGCCCATAGATAGCCACAACACGTCTCTTCAAAATCTCTGCAAAAATATGTCAATCTGCCGCGCATAAGTAAGAAACAAGCAGATTTCTACGGAACGACCTTGAGAGATACACTTCCCTCTGGTCATCATCCGGAAAAACAAGAGTGACTAAGGCAATGTGCTGCAAACAGGAGGCTGAAATGAGTGGGAAAAACAGCAGTCTTCTCAGAAACCATTAAGACTGGAAGGATGCCTGCTGCTTTCGCCTTATGAACCTTTTCACCTTCTCAGGCAGTTTTTTTAAAAATTATTATTATTTTGGAAAGTTTTTTTTTGTGAGTTTAGCCCTGGTGGCCTTCCATCTTCACAAACGAGACCTTGACAAGAGGAGAGCTCTGCTGTTTTTTATCAGAAGAGGAAAACAAAAATCCACCGAGCTCAGAGGAGGAGCTCCCATCTGGATAGAAGAAACGTTCCAGCTGCAGACATTTGGACAGCTCGGTGGTTTAGATAACGTTCCAGCTGCAGACATTTGGACAGCTGGGTGGTTTAGATACTGGGTGTTCGACTCCCCACTGTGCCTCTTTGACAGGGGCAGGAGTTCGATTCCCCACTGTGCCTCTGTGACAGGGGCAGGTCTCAGCGATCCATAGATTCCCTTCCAGCTCTGCAGTTCTAAGATGATGATTATTATTATTTGGTCCTCCCTTCCTCTCATTTCTGCACCTCCGTCTTTTTATACTGGCTGGAACTGTGTCTGGCAGAGCCTGGCCAAAGTCTGGGCCTTTTATACATCTAAACCAGGATAGGACCCACAACTGCAACATCTCCTGGGCCCTTGGGAGCCCGCCCCAGACTGTATTAATCCCTGGTCCACAGACTGGATTGTAAGCAAAATATACTGGAGTTGTTTGCAAAGGGAGTATTAGAGATACACCACATCTCCTTGTGTTTCATATGCTTTATCTGGCTATGCTCAAGTACACGGGGCTCAAAACTATGAAATATTTGCTTGTAGATGGCACCAGCTTTGTGATTGAGCCTGACAATCTGGACTATCATCTGGGGGGGAAAAAAGGTGGTCCCCAATAATAGAGAAATTGGTTGTCATTTGTCTCAAGGAGGTTTGGCAACTGTGGCCCTCCAGAGAATCTTTGCCCATAACTTGCGCAATCTCTCACCATAACTATGGCAGCTAAGGCTGATCAATGGTGGTTGTAGGCCACACCAGGAGAATCACAGCCATAGTTTAGGAAATGGGTCTATTCAAAGGCCCTCTGGAACGACATGGCTACTAACCGATGGATCAACGGGAGAGCTGATGTGTCTGTTATGCCTGGCCAGGCCACAGGCCACAGCCATTGATTCTGGAAAACAGCTCACTGCACGTGCTTTGCGTTAAAAAGGCTGCAATCCTGCATCAAGATGCTCGCAATTCTGAACTGCATTGAGCTGGATTCCACAGCCTGTGTTCAAAGCGAGCAAGAGTTCATAACATGTCTTATTTTGCCTAACTTACTACGTGAATTTTAACATTTGCATAGGCCAGTGAGTGATTGCTTGTCTCAGTTAGAAGGCAGACCTGCTGGATCAACCATTCAATGGTATGTCGGCACTGATGTAAATCCCACTAAGTCAGTGGGTCTACTTTAGTTGAGCCCAGCAATTGGACACTGCCCACAGTTTGTGATACAATCCTATTCAAAACGAATGACCACGGCACGGGGATAATTCCGAAATTCCCTTCTCCTAGCTGAGGTCATGTATGTGTCAATGAAGCACCAGCGTTCTGCAGGGGTACCTATGGCTAGCAGCGCACTGGATGCAGGAGGAAGCTTGGGCTTGGTAGCATCAAAACTACAATGACTTGGAGCCTCTGTTTGCTCGGAGATCCTTCCTGCACCCAGTGACCGTTTAATGTTATACCTTCAAATGCAGGAGCTGGGATTAAATGCCTCTTTACTGCTCAGCAGAGAGCCTCGGGGGTCTTTGGAGTAAAATAACAGAAGAAAGAACCTTGCTCTCATGTAACAGAAGATAAAATCCTGGCTCATTATCCCAGGAGAAAAAAAAGAGTGAATCAACCGGTGGAGTTACATCCACTCAAATTGCTGTAATCTTTGACTGAGTCCTTGAAAATCGTAGTGGGGGAAGGTGTTGGGTGGGGAAGAGATTGGGTGTCTCCCAAAGGTTTGCTTTCCCAGAAGAGGTTGACTCTGTATGTACGCCTACAGAGAAGATAATGTTGGATGAGCAATCAACTATCTTTGACCCCGGGGGGCCTAATGCATTAATCACTTGGCATTCCTCCATAGTTCTTGAGCAGCAGCTTGTCAAGGAGCTTTTATGGGCTTTTTGCATAACAGAAACCCCGCTCCGTGCCAAGAAGGTCTTCCCCTTGCTTACCCACATGGCCTATATGTAAACACAATGTAGCTGTCTTCATCTGTCCGCTCCAAAAAGGTGACACAGGTGTGCTTCTCCCAGTGGCGCATGGCTTGTCGAAAGACGGCTCGCTGGTTGCCTGCAAGAAATGGGTAGAAGACAAAGCCGGGCTAGAGCAGGGAAGGGACCAGCTTTCTGAACTGTGTGAGCAGCGGAGCAGGGTAACACAGGGCACCTCTAGAGAGCACCGAGCAATGGCAACGGGGAGGTGAAAAAGACTCGCAGAAAAGCCCTAATTCTTGTAGGTTCTTCATTTTCTTTCTTGACAAAATGAGACACATCAGGGGGGATTTTTCAAGCTCTGTGAGATTTCTCATCCCACGTGGAAGGGGAAGAAGACATCCACCTCTTCAAGATTTCTGCCGTTTGCCCAAATTTCTCTGTGCAAAACTATCAGCATCATTTCTCCTTGTGAAGCTAAGGATACAGGCACATCACTAGCACAGAAGGACTGGCTGATGGATGGAAAAGAGGCAACTGAACGAAACTGACCAGATTTTCAGCTTGCAATTGAGCAACACAACATCCCAGTTGTGCAATACAACATCCCACTTGAGCAACACAACATCCCAGTTGAGCAACACAAGATCCCATTTGGCCTTTTCTTGAATAAGATGAACTTGGTTACAACTAACAGTAAACCTAAGCAAAGCAACAAGCCTGGGTGGGATTTCTAAACATGCTGCTAACGCTGGATACTAGAATCTGGGCAGCTGACCAGAACATCTATAACTCCCCAGCCTGCTTCAAATAGCCACACCTTCCAAGCATGTGGCCTGCCTCCCTTTTCAATTGCACATCTTTGCCATGGAGTCAGATGAAGGTTCGGGGATTTCGAAGTGGCAATGAGCCCAGGAATAATGTGGAAGGAAGCAAAGAACCAGTTGCATACTCAAATGGCTATATCCTAGCGTACAGAGTTAAGACTAGAGGGATATAGCCGTTCCTTTCTCAAATGTAGTCTTGCACACATGGGGTGCAAAATAGACAGGAATCCCATTGACTATTTTTTTCTCCAGGTTCTGCTCAGGCTGAACCTGAAGAGATGGTGACCTGATGGCTGTTGTGGGTTTTTCGGGCTCTTTGGCCATGTTCTGAAGGTTGTTCTTCCTGACGTTTCGCCAGTCTCTGTGGCTGGCCTCTTCAGAGGACAGAAGTAGGAACTCTGTGCTCTGGTGACTCGGTTCTGACTCCTGTCCTCTGAAGACGCCAGCCACAGAGACTGGCAAAACGTTAGGAAGAACGACCTTCAGAACACGGCCAAAGAGCCCGAAAAAGCCACAACAGCCATCAGATCCCAGCCGTGAAAGCCTTCAGATAGTGCCCTCTTCATGCTCAGCCGTGAAAGCCTTCAAGAATACAGATAGCGCCCTCTTCATGCCACCATCTCTTCTGGATCACATCATGCAGTCAAACCATACAGGAATACCAGACCTTTTCCCCATTCAACCCTCTATTGTAGGAGAGAACCAGAGTTTCGAATGTGCAACACTTCCGATCCCATGTCGGAAACACCAACTCACCAGTGAAATTCCCGCTGATCACGTAAGGGATGACTCCATCCGGCCACACCCGTTCTTGATGTGAAGTGGCAGCTCGGCGACTCCTCAGGCGCCCTTGGCCTTGCTTCCATCGTCTCCTCAGCTGTTTCCCAGGCCTGAGACTGGTGCTGTTCCTGCTCCCTGTCATGGGCACAATCGACAAAGCGGTTTGTCCGCATCTTGTTCTCCCAGTCAGAGCCAGAAGAAAAACTCTTAAGCTCCTTGTCACACATGGTTCGTTCACTTCCACTGCTAAGACTGGCCTTCCAGTGACAAACACTTTATAAACGCGAGATGTCCTATGCCCCTATTGGCTCCAGTTGGATTAAACTGGTCTTCCTAATGCCTCAGCGAGGGTCCAGATGACAATGTTTAAAAGCAATGTCCTTTTATATATAGAGAGAGATTCTGTATATGTATGATAAATCACCCCTTAAATATCCCACATACCGTGAAAACTCTACTAGGGTTTCCATAAATGAGAAGTGAGATTGCACGTAAGATGTTGGGAGTTTTCTGAGGAATCTTTCTGGGTTCGGGGTGACTGTCAATCTATTCGGCACTAAATAGTCATTCCTTCCTGCTTCTGAATTCAAAGAGAGCCCCACCACTCTGTTTCAAGTGTTTACTATTCCTTTCCCTTTCTTCAGTCTGTTGGAAACAGTTGCTGTGTTTGTTCCTATGCTGTTGATCTGCTCACAACTGTAAGTAAAGAAACCTTTTTATCCTTTCTCCTCCAAATGTCTCAGAGCGAGTTATTGAGACTGTTAAGTGCCAGTTAATGAGAAAGGGGTGGACTATCTGGGGAAGCTGAAGCTATTCTCCTCTGTGAATCTCTGTACTTCTATTGTGTAGCCCAAGGAATTTTTACCAAAAATTCAGAACTCTGCAACATAACATGCACACCAGCTTAGGCAGGCCACTACAAAAGATTCATTCATTCATTCATTCATTCATTCATTCATTCATTCATTCATTCATTCATTCATTCATTCATTCATTCATTCATTCATTCATTCATTCATTCATTCATTCATTCATACTGTATATATATTAAAACCAGAGAGCTGCACGCAGAAGTTGGGTTGCCCATTTCAAATCACTACGCTAGTATTTTATTCCGTGCCATGAAATGCTCCCATTTCATGGGTTATTTTCATTTCTGGTTTTCCTTATCCTCTCCTATTCCTGCCTTCCAACCTCTCCTCGCTCATCCTTTTTTAAAACTAACCTTCTTTTAAGAGGGCAACAATTTGTGCAGTTAGTCATTTAGTAATCTGAGGGGTTGGGGGTGCGATGCCCAATGTAGCTTTTGGAATGAGGTGTGTCCTCCAATGTGAACCTTTAGGGACTCCTGCTATTGAAACATCAGTTGTATTTAGGGATGTCAGTCTTTCACAACGAACGAACGGTTTGTATAAAACAGCTCGTGGGTTGGTTTCCAGTCGTGTCAATACACGTTTATTGTTTAAGTAGTCCAAGCTTTTGATGGCAATATCCTGTGTTTTCGTTGATATCTTGCCTTCCCTGGTGAAGATGGGGCAGGATACTGCCACCGAAAGATGGGACTATTTAAACAATGAACATGTATTGACACAGCTGGAAGCCCACCAGCTGTTTATGCAAATCAATGGTGCTCTTCTTCACAACATGAACAGCAGAAGACTCCATCCAGATTTGGAGGTGAAGGTGGGAGAAGCAGAAGAGCCCTCTTCTCTCGTGTCTGGCATTTTTAAAAGGAAAAACATCTTTTCCTAGGATTTTTCAAGAAGTCGCTGCCAGCACTGGAAAACCCCTTACTGTGAGAAGGTCTTCTCAATGCTCAGTGCTTCACAGACCAAAAATTAGTCAAGCTCATCATAGTTAGAGGAACTTCTGTCTGCCCAGTATCTCTCAGACAGATGAGCTAAAGGCTCCTGAATCATCACTACTACTGCTACCAACATCATCTCTGTGGTTTTCATCCTTTGGTTTTCTAGCTAGTTTGGACCAATTCCCAGACAATCCAGCCAGCCAGCCTGGCCTTGGCTAGGGATTCTGGGAGGTTAAATCCCGAAACATCTGGAGGGTCAAAAGCTGAGAGCCATTTTAGCTGTGCACTGTCTAGTTGCCTCCAAGAATTTGCTGGCATGACTCTTTTTCACACACAAAAAAATCAGTCCTCCACTTTCTCTTTAACGATGCCTGCTTGTATAAATTAATCAGGCAGATTTTCCAAAAAAAGGCTTACTCCTTCCTGGTGCTTATTCCTCCACTTTCTCTTTAACGATGCCTGCTTGCATAAATTAATCAGGCAGATTTTCAAAAAAAAAGGCTTACTCCCTGGTGCTTATTCCAAACCCCAAGAAAGAAAGAAAGAAAGAAAGAAAGAAAGAAAGAAAGAAAGAAAGAAAGAAAGAAAGAAAGAAAGAAAGAAAGAAAGAAAGAAAGAAAGAAAGAAAGAAAGAAAGAAAGAAATTATTCTAGGCTCCAAGGTCTTTTAGAGTAGCTTAGGTATTTATTCTGGCTTTGAAAGAAAAGTGAAGTGGAAATGGAGCTATGAAATACCAGCAAGTAAGTTGGCAGCTTTTTCTTCTGATTTAACTGTTTTGGCGGCTGGTGTATTTAGAAATCAGGCCGTTGCTTCTTGTTCTGCTGGTGGACCGTATTAGAGCGGCATAGGTCATGGGCAAGTATATTCACAAGCACAGCGTATTTGGCTGGGAAAGGACACTTTTCCCCCCAAGTTTCTGGCTGGCTTTGTCAACGCAAGATCAGAAGGAGTGCAACTGTAGGATGCCAAGATCTTTGTCTCTAAATTGTTTGAAATGCTCTCTATCAGCCAAGCTGTCGCCAAAAACGAAAGAAAATATCACCTGGCAGAAGATCCTACCCTAAAGGGCCAGGAGTGAGTGAGAGAGAGGGAAAAAAATTACCAGGGCCGAAAGCCAATGCGAACACTTCACAACTAGTTGTTTGACAAGAGAAAGCTCATGGTTGGGTGTTGTAGGTTTCAGAGTTGCTGTCGCAGACACACAAAAGGCTTGTCTTCAAGTCTTGCATGAACTGGAAGCTTTGATTTTGGTCTTTTCTGTTGCCCCTTTATGAAATGAGCCAGTATGGTATAAGGAGTAGAGTGTCAGACGAGTTCAGGAGACCTGGGTTCAAATCCCCACTCCACCTTGGAAACTCACTGGCGGTTCTTACCACTTCTTAAATATCTCGTATAGTTTGAAATACTTAGTGTGTGTGTGTGTGTGTGTGTGTGTGTGTGTGTGTGTGTATTTTGTGCTTATAGCAACCCTAATAGGGCTTTCAAGGTAACTGACATATTTAAGGAATGGTTTTCCCAGTTCCACACATGCACCTAGTGAGTTCCCATGGCCCAGTGGGGGATTTGAACCCTGTTCTCCAGAGCCCTAGTCCATCACTCTATCTACTACACCACACTGGGAATTCCTATTTGGGTCACCATAAATCAGATGAGACTTGATGGCCTCTCAAAACAACTTTATCAGCCAAAAATAAACTGGGTGGTATTGAAAGTCCAATTTCTTCAGACAGAGTACAACATACCACGAGGACTCTCCGTCCTAATTCTGGTCACCCAATTTCAAAAGATTTCAAAATGAAATCCATGTTCCTCTTTCCCAAAAACCCAACAATAAATCATTCCATTTCCATCATATTTTGCTAGCTATTCTTTCCAGATGTACACCAATTTTTGGAGGCCTTTTAAAAGTGAACAACATAGAACTGATGGGTAGCTCAGTGGCTTAGGCATCTGGCTGTGGACCTAGAGTTTGGGAGTTCGATTCCCCATGGTTCAGTAGCTCAGTGGCTTAGGCATCTGGCTGTGAATCCAGAGTTTGGGAGTTCGATTCCCCGTGGTTCTTCCTTGACAGGGGCTAGACTCAATGATCCATAGGGTCTCTTCCAGCTCTGAAGTTCTCTGATGATGATGATGAAAGCCTAATGACTGAACACACACTCTCTCTCTTTCTCTGTTTATCGTTATCTTCTCTACAGCAGTGGTCCCCAACCTTGGGCCTCCAGATGTTTTTGGACTTCAACTCCCAGAAATCCTGGCCATCGGAGGTGGTGGTGAAGGCTTCTGGGAGTTGTAGTCCAAGAACATCTGAAGGCCCAAGGTTGGGGACCACTGCTCTAAAGGATTCTCCAGCCTTTTAAAAATCCCATCCCATAATTAAACAAATGTTACTGCCAGGGAGATTTCTTCGAAACGGGGGTCCTCCAGTGACAAATCTTTTTATCCTTCCCTTTCTGTCAAGGAAATGCAGGTGGTTCCATAGATGCTTTGTGGAGGACAGCTGAGAAGTGGACCCATGGGAAGCCAGCTGCTTTTGTCTTATCCCATATGGACCTGGTTCCTGTTGATATTATCAAGGGGGACAGACCAAGGTGGCTGCACCCTTTTTCAGGCTGTTCCTTCAATAACACCAGCTTTGCCTACAGTTAGTGGCCTTCTAGGGTCTGGCTTTTAATGAAGCAAGATGGGGGAAAGGCACCTTCTGTTTCTCTCTGCTGCACTGATTTACTGATGGTTCTAACTGGGGAAGTTCATAGCTAAGATGACACGGAAGGAAATCTGTGCCAAAGATCTATAAAGCAGAAGAAACAGGGGAAGTAGGTTCAGAAGATGCTTTCTGTGATGTTCTTCTCTGAAATCCGAGCCCCTGAGTTCACAGGAAACGAAGAACAAAGCCATTAATCATTTTCTCCACTAATCATGCTTTCTTCTAGGGAAAAAAAGCATTAACAGCCAAGTGGCACAACCAGCAAAGATGCAGAGGTAAAAATGTTATCACTCAGCCCTTACAGCTGTTTGCTTGCCTTCTGTTTCGATGATGCAATTTCAGAATCCAACCTCTAAGTCCCAGGATTGATTTCTCTCTATGGATTCTGACATGGGAAGACTAGTGGCAACGATACCTGAAGAGTTGGTGGCCGTTCTCTCAATTGTATGTCGCGTAAGATCCACAACCCTGTCCACCTGGAACATCTTGAGGTCCTCCTCGTCCAGAGCGATGTCTCCTAAAAAGGCAGCTAGGGGGAAAAAAGGAGAAGAACTTATGAGGAGTGAGGTGAGTCTGGGTGGTTTTGACTATCCTCTGAAGGAACATTTTAAAATAGAAGTGAAAGAAGGGCACATAAGCTCACTTTATACAGTATATCATTTATGCAAGGAGTAAGCAGGTCACCTGGATGACAGGAAGGAAGGAATCATTACGAAGAAATGAGAAACAATTTATTAAGATTCTACATGTTTTGGGTTGAATGATTAAAAAATATTTTATTTATAATAGTACCTAGGTTAAACGCAAACTGATTTCTTTGTGGTCATAATGCAGTTTTTAATGCACCCGCTTCCAATTTTATTTGTTCACTTGGATAACATGATCATGCAATGCTGCTATCACATGTTCTGTTACCAAGGATTGTTCACTCCCCATCATAGTAATGGGATTCAAGTCGGAAGACAATAAAGCCACCCTTTAAGGACGGACATTCCTTTCCCATCACTCTGAAGCAACCCCTCAGTGTTGCCTAGACCTCGCTCTGCTTTTTGCATAACAGAAGGAGGTCCTGGTGCTAGAAACGTCCCAGAAGGCCTTGTCATTAGGGTGCAGCTAAATAGCACAATAGGGCATGTATGATCAGGACGCCTGCTCTCTTTCTTTCTTCTTCTTTTAATTAAACGTAAGTGGCAGGAAAGTGTGGGTTGAGAACATCGTGCCAAAAAAGAAGAAGAAGAAGGGGGAAAAGGGGGTTTAGGTACTTTCCCAGAACAGTTTCTTCCTAGTCTAGTTGATTTCCTGCTTCATTGAGGGGTTGAGATCTATGACCTTTGGAGGCCATTTCAACTGTGCAATTCTCTCATTCTTAGACATCACCAGAAGTGCTCCGGTCTAGAAGAATTGCTTCCAGAATATTTCCAAAATGTTTTGGGATCTTAACATGTAAGGAACTAGTTTTTGCCTTGTCCACATAGCAGGTCGAGAAAGGAAATCGGGCAAAGCAAAGGGGAGGAAGAGAAAAAGAGAGAAAAATGTCAGGGCAACTTAAAGACTCACTGAGTGTGTGTGTGTGTGTGTGTGTGTGTGTGTGTGTGTGTGTGAGAGAGAGAGAGAGAGAGAGAGAGAGAGAGAGTGAGAGAGAGAGAGAGAGAGTTATATTTTATACTTGCACAGACTTACACGGCTACTTTTTAAAGAAAGAAATGGAAGCATTACATTTGTCTAGTAAGCATCGAGGACTTTCCTGTCTAAGTCAGAGCTAAAGGAATCGGCTGAGCCTAGAACTCTCCTTGTTGTCTAATCACTGTTGTCCCTAAACAAGCCAAGGGAAACAACTGGCATAAAGGCAGGCAAAACAAGTATCTGCCATGCAACCTTGGCCACACTAAGAGCAAATACTAGGCCACCTCAGGTCCTTGTACAAAGTTCTTGGCTGTTGCAACTAATTTCTATCCTTCAGTTGTGGAGTGGCTCATAAGGGGCCTCTCTTGCTCTTTTGCCTGTGCCCCCTGGGATGCCCAGTATGGTGTAGTGGACAGAGTGATGGACTAGGATTCTGGAGAACAGGGTTCGAATCCCCGATCCGCCATGGAAATCTCACTGGGGGAATGGAATTGGTTAAATCACTCCTTAAATATCTCACGTTCCTTGAAAACCCCATGAGGGTCGCGATAAGTTGGTTCGTACTGGATGGCACAGAACACATGTGGTCCCCGCATCCCAAAATCAAGGGTATCTCTTATTTTCTGATATCTTCATTAGAAATGACCCACCACCTAAGTCCATTAATCACATCGGTCTTTTTTTTCCCGCAGCTGTTTCACATTTATAGATCAGACATTTTGCAATCAATCAAGATCTCTGGGTCTCATTCTTCTTCTGCCATTTCCAGCTGAACAATCCCCAGACAACAGCAAAATAACATTATTAGCCCCCAAATGGATGACCTTACATGTTACTCTATCCGATTTCATTCCATTTCTATGACTCTAGCTCTTGATGTCATCTATTTTGCCTTGTACAATTCCCAGCTCTTTTATAATGAATTAAAAAATATTTCCTAAACTCTGTTATTCACAAAATTCATTAGCACACACTAACCCCTGGACTGTCTGTAATGCTGTTGGCGGAAATGGGAAATAAGACTGGCCTTCAATCTCCATGGAATGTCATCAATTTTCTTCTTTCCCACTTTCAAACAATCTGAGCACACATGAGGTTTTCTGTCAATATAACTTTTCTTGCTTTGTTACAGGACTTGGATCTAGCAGAACATTATTACATAGGGTATTAGGAGAAGTCATATGGATTTGGTATGATTACTAGCTAGGTTACATCAACAACATCTCCGATCAACAGTTATCCCATAAGAAAACATGCAAGAACAGTTTAAAATCAAGAATTTTGGGGGTATACTAGATTTGGTGATATATATCTTTGCTGTACTGTAGAGCAGTGGTCCTCAACCTTGGGCCTCCAGATGTTCTTGGACTTCAACTCCCAGAAATCCTGTCCAGAAGAGGTGGTGGTATAGGCTTCTGGGAGTTGTAGTCCAAGAATAGCTGGAGGCCCAAGGTTGGGGACCACTGCTGTAGACAGTCTCACGGCCCAAGGTTGAGGACCACTGTTGTAGAGAGTCTCACGACACAGTGGTTAAAGTGCAGTCCTGCAGCCAGAACTTTCCAGTCCTTCTTTCTTCTGGAGCAGTGGCTCCCAGCCTTGGGTCACCCAGGTGTTCTTGGACTGCAACTCCCAGAAACCTTCACCACCAGCTGTGCTGCCCCAGGATTCTGGGAGTTGCAGTCCAAGAACATTTGAGTTGGGGTTTAGTGATCTAGTGTACTCTTGTCACAAAATCGGTTTTGTTCAAATACTATTGATTCTGGGAGTCGCAGTCCAAGAACATTTGAGTTGGGGATTAGTGATCTAGTGTAATCTTAATAGTCCTCTACTCTTGCCACAAAATTGGTTTTGTTCAAGTACTATTATTGCTTCTCTGAGACCCATCTTGCTTCCTCCTAGTTTCTTTTCTTCTAATCCTGAATCACAGAATTGTGGAACTTCAAGAGACCGCAAGGACCCACCCAGGTCAACCCCCTGCTGTATCAGGAAATCCGCAGGTAAAGTAACCCCCAATAAGTCGCCATCTAACCCCTTGTTCAAAGACCTCCAACAATGGAGAAGCCACCGCCCTCTGACACCTCACTGTCGAAAAGCTCTTCCTAACATTTAGGCAAAACCACCTTTGCCCAAACCCGAATCTCTCCTTTTGGCAGCTTTTTTCAACCTCTCTGGATGGGGAGTTGAGGAAGAGATGGCTCATTTCAGCTCAGATGCCCCAATGGAAGAAGGCAACTTTTCAATTTCATTCATCCCCTTTTGTAGTTAAAAAACAACAGCAACAACAACGCTCGAAAAGAAAGCAGGTGCCATGATCGACGGGGTCTCTGGACTCCATCAGCCCACCAGTTCTGCTGGCCGCTTCAGCATATGAACATCTGGTTCTCATAAAGACTGCTGCACGTCTTAGAGAGATTTTTAAAGATATTATTATGACACAAATTGTTTTAACCCCAATCTTCTTTCGCAAGTTCTCTTTCTAGTACACCCTCCTTCCCTCTCCCTCTCTCTCTTTTCCCCTCTGCACATGCAGGCTACTGAGCCAATCTGAACTTGTATAGCCAAGGGATCTTCAAATAACCTTCTATTCATTTGCCACACAAAGAATCAAAACCATATGGTATCGCCGAAAGAAGCAGACAACAAGCACAGCTCGTACAGAGAGGACCTGGGCCGAGTCCCTTTTGTCCCATAGCAAATTCCCCAGTTTGGGAGGATAACACCAGGTGGACACAGATTTCTGTACACCCATACACAATACCTCATTCCTCAGCCAGTAACCTTGAGTCTTGTAACTAAAAGCCAAACATGTTTTCCTTCCACCCCTCCACCCCAAATGTGTACAAGGCACATTGAAACTTTGTTCAAGCCAGGTCCCTGGGACTCTGAGGAGCTGCTGTGAGGACAAAATGGTGGGCCACAGCATAGAACTTGGAAGTAACTACTGTAGTTACAAATAATGAGTTATCTGAAATTAGTTCCTACTTATCCATTTTCCAATCCCCAGATCCTCCTGAACTCTAAACCAGCAGCACTCCCAAACAAGAATTGGTGTTGCTTCTTTAAAATAAGGTTCATGGTCCCTTGTCTTTCTTCATTTAGTGGTATAGCCCTTATTGGGGTACCTGGGTGGGTCCCTGACCTTGCCTTAAGGACTGGAGTTTCAGCTAGGTAAGTGAACAGAGTTGAGCAGAGAGACACAGATGGACAAGAAATTGACAGGTAAAGAACAAACACATAGGTAGTTAAAAATGTTTTGGTTGTTGTGGTTGTTTAGTCGTTAAGTCATGTCGGACTCTTCGTGACCCCATGGACCAGAGCACGCCAGGCCCTCCTGTCTTCCACTACCTCCTCCAGAGTTGGGTCAAATTCATGTTGGTCGCTTCGGTGACACTGTCCATCCATCTCGTCCTCTGTCGTCCCCTTCTCCTCTTGCCTTCACACTTTCCCAGCACCAGGGGCTTTTCCAGGGAGTCTTCTCTTCTCATGAGATGGCCAAAGTATTGGAGCCTCAGCTTCAGGATCTGTCCTTCCAGTGAATGCTCAGGGTTGATTTCCTTCATAACGGATAGGTTTGTTCTCCTTGCAGTCCAGGGGATTCTCAAGAGTCTCCTCCAGCACCACAATTCAAAGGCATCAATTCTTCGGCGGTCAGCTTTCTTTATGGTCCAGCTCTTACTTCCATACATCACTAAAGGAAAAACCATAGCTTTGACTATTCAGACTTTTGTTGGCGAGGTGATGTCTCTGCTTTTTAAGATGTTGTCAAGGTTTGTCATCGCTTTCCTCCCAAGAAGCAGGCGTCTTTTAATTTCATGGCTGCTGTCACCATCTGCAGAGATCATGGAGCCCAAGAAAGTAAAATTTGTCACTGTCTCCACATCTTTCCCTTCTATTTCCCAGGAGGTG